TATTGTTATTTTGTTAGTAATTATTTATTTTTAGATTTACCTCTTATTATATTTCCGGTCTTCAACCATTTTACCTATTTGACCTTCAAATTATTTTAATGAATATTTCATTTAAAAAAATTTTTTCAACATGTTCAAGATTATAAAAATTTTCTATGAAGAATTTTTTCTTCTCGCTTGTGTACATCTTTAAAATTTTTGACTGTAAGTTCTATTTTTAACAAATTTCATTTTTCTAATCTTAAAAAAATTGTAGTTTTCGACTGAGGATGAGGTAACACCTCGAAACTAGTATCGAAGTAAATCTAATAAATTTGCAAGTAAGAGGTTACTTATTTTGTTTTTTCATTAAATTTAATTACCTTGCAACATGGATAATCACAATATATTCATAGAGCCCTTAACACGAACCTACACAAGAATGAATTGAGCAAGGAACTTAACATAATAAAACAAATAGGTCAAAACAAAGGATACAAAACTGAGATAATTGATAAAATGTTTGATAAACAGAAGAACAAAACCAATCGTAATAGACGACACTCAACACTCCACAAGAAAATGACAACAAAATTTACAGGACACTGGAATACCAGGGTAAAAAAAATAAAAAGGATCCTCAAAAGATATAATATCACACTCACATCCAAAAATAAGAACACCATAGGACAAATCCTTATAAACAACAAAGATAAAATAGACAAAATGGAAGATAATGGAATATATAAATTGGAGTGCGGCACGTGTGGTGCAGTCTACATTGGAGAGACAGGAAGATCTTTAAAGACTAGAATTAAAGAACACAAAAATCAAAAAAGATCCAATTTCGGAAGACACCTTATCTTTAATGAAAACCACATATTCGACGATATAAAAAACTCCCAATTGATACACCGCATAAATAAAAATAACCTTATTGAGACCTTAGAAAACTACGAAATTAATAAGTTCAAACATAACCATCCAAGTATAACGTGTTTAAACGACCAAATAACAACAAATGAAAGACCTCTATATACATATTTGAAAGTACCGTACACCCCTCCTAAAAAACCCCCAGATGAACGAGGATCTTAAACCACGGTAGCAGTTTAAGCATTGCAACATTCTGGGTCCTTGGCTACCAAAACAATATCCTATTTTCCCACAAATATCCTACCCATTCCTGTTAAACCCCTTTAAAATGTTATCCAAATATTCCTTCTCTTCACTACATATTTAAATTGGTCTAAGTTTCTAAACCTAAGAATTGGGACTTACTATAGAAGTTTTTATACAATAAGTTCAAATACAACCACACATACCTGACATGTCGGAACGAACATATTTTTACACACGTGACACCACATATCATTATCTGTAAATTGCCCTACAGAATTCCCTCTATAAAACCCTCAGATGGACGAGGATCTCAAACCACAGTAGCATTTTGAGTATCGCACCATTCTGGGTCCTTGGCTACCAACGAAATGTTTCCTATTAACCTATTTTAATCCTACCAATTCCTTAAAAACCTTTAAAAAAATTTCCAAATAATTCCACTCCTAGATTTAGATTATAAAAATAATTTGTTCTCTAAATTTATAATTGTAATATAGGTAACTTGCAAACAAACATTCTAACCTCAAACAAAAATGAAAAACACGTGCGCACATATTCCTGTCTAACTAACTTTTATATATTAGATTTTTAACATAATTATGTAAAACAAATTGTTTCTTTTTATAATAGGAGATTCGAGGGTTCCTGAAGATGGTTCTACTATTGAACCGAAACCGGTAGAATTAAAAACAAATAATCCATTTTTAATAAAAGTACAAACAGAAGACATTGTTATTTTATTTAATGCTTTAAAATGGAAAGAAATAACGAATACAACGAAATGATAATAGTTTAGTTACTCTTTGTTCCAACGCAATAGGAGTTCAGCCAATTCGCTTTGCTAAACGGTATTCACAAAAGGAGAAGAAAAACATTCAGGCACGTAGAAAATGTAACTGTTATAAAAATGTACCAATAATCATTTTTTTTTTTAGATTGAACAACCTGCGGTCGTAAAGAGTTATAATGAAAATATGGGCGGTGTTGATTGGTTTGATCAAAATATTGGTTTGTATCGTATTTCCATAAGAGGAAAAAAATGGTACTTTTCATAACATAATTATGTAAAACAAATTGTTTCTTTTTATAATAGGAGATTCGAGGGTTCCTGAAGATGGTTCTACTATTGAACCGAAACCGGTAGAATTAAAAACAAATAATCCATTTTTAATAAAAGTACAAACAGAAGACATTGTTATTTTATTTTATTATCATTTCGTTTAACTGCTATTATATTTTGATCACTAATTTTCCTGTAATCATAGCTCCCTCTTTTTTCCTTCTTCAAAAGAAGGAATCTCGCAGACGATTTTCTCTAACTGTGCCGGTCCCCATTAGTTTTTTTTTCAGACAGCTTCTCAATAAGTGAAAGACTATGTGAAACTCAAAATTAGGCCATTTCTTTTTCAGAACATCCGCATATTCTAGTACAACGCTAGGGCCATCTCCAAGGTCACAGTATACTTTGCTAATATTTGTTTTTGAACCTTGATAGGGCTTAAACCAATAAACATACCCTTCCTTAGAGGCGCCAACCAAGAGTTTATAGCCATATCTTATTGGCTTGCCATAAATGAACTGCTTACAGGAGTGACGACCGAAATACGGAACCATGGCTTCATCTATTGAATGGTTTTTTGTACGAATTCCTTTTTCAAATTTGTCTTGTTGATCTAGCGTAGAATTGTCAGCCAAATGAAAGTTTGATACAATAAATTCAAACTTATCTCTACTGATACATTCTGTTACCATACTATTGTTAGCGTCTCTATCACGTTCCCAAAACATTCTTCGCCGTGGAGTAATTACGTATCCACTAATAATAAGTACTCCAAGAAAAGCTTTTATTTTGGATTCCAGAACTTCTTGAAAACGATTCTTTTGATTAGCGTATCTATTTGTTTCAGTTGTTATTAGTTTTATAAGATCTTCATCAAAAAAATCTAGGAACCACTCGAGAGGTGTTTTGTTTTCAGAAGAAAAGTTTTCTTGCGATTCATCATAAAAACTTGGAGGTAAATCATTTTTTATCCAATGATAAGTTTTCCTTTTTTTGTACATTTTATATGATATTATCATCAGTATCATACGAACTACTAACATGATCACCAAACAATTCTACAGTTGTTTGCAATTGAGAACCTGGTAAATTATTTATTGACATTTGATCTTCACCTGAATCTGCATCAGTGAGATTACCACACGCATTTATTGGTGGTAACATGGTAATATTCTCAACACGTCCAACCATTTCTTCGTCCTCTTCAAGCATTGCAAGTGCTTCATTGAGTGAAACNTATTAAGTGTTTAGGCATATCTGGGTTAATTTCGTGAAAAATCTTCAAGTATTTTCTTTGTTTTTCAATTAATTCAGTTAGAAAAAAAGAAAAGTAAAAGTTTAATTTTTTTTATTATTTTGTAAGTTCCTGTTGGCGAGTTTTTATATTTTTTTGCATTATATTTTATTTTCCTTAATAAGAGGTTTTAGGTTGAGCTCAACTCTACGGAGTCTTGACGCGAGTTATGCAGCTGAATCCCGATATTATTTAAGAAACTAATATGAGAAGATGAAGAACCGTAAGATTCGGTATGAAATTGTACACCGAGAATTAATGAATGATAAATAAAAAAGTATAAATAGGACTAATTATTAAATTTAATATTAATTGTATTTTTGTCTTCTAACTGTACGGTCGTTACTTTTAATCAAATAAATTCGTTATACAAAAGAAAGGTTACTTTTCCTTTTTTAAAAATGCCTACCATTCGCTGGCAAGTATAACTAGCGCAGTCAGTAGGTTATTTAAGTGTCAACAGACGGTGTTTCGAAAGTGAAATTTTTGGACATTGATGAATTTTAATTCTTAACACCTGACACCATCCTACTCGGTCACAACAACACCAACCAAAACAAAAGTGCGACAAGACGGTGAAACCAAAATTCAATTTAAGGGACAAGAGCTAAAATTGCCACGTCTCAACCGCAAACGGTGCCTGTCGTTCTGCAGCATACCCGAAGACCCAAGCGGAAGCAGCCGACTTCCAGCCAATTCCCGAATCCACGGATCACACTTCCAGGACAACAAGAAAAACACGAAAAACAGAAGAACAAATGAACCTCATACAGTGAGTAATTTTAAGATTAACGTTAAACCTTTGGCAAAAATTATATTAAACCATACAAACTTTGTAAACTCCGATTTATTAATTATTGGCACTTAGACAAAATTGATTCTTTAATTGAGCAATTTGAAAATTTAAAACTAAAAATGGCAAATCAAAATCCAAATCAGCCCGCTCATCCTTATACCAAAGCCTCAATAACTCAGACCGAAGTAAATATAATTCCAAAATGTAAAGCTGACCCTATTGTACTTCCAATGTTTATCGAATTATGTGAAAGATTCTTAAATACTTATTATGATAGAGTAAACCCTCATAATTCTATAAATCCATTTTTAATAAATATTGTTAAAAATCGCTTCGAAGGAGAAGCCTTAGGCTACGTGCGCATTCGGCGGCCTGGCCGCGGCGGCCATGTCGCGGCGACCATTGAAATCGAAGTTATCCTTTATAATGTGAAAAACCGCACGCATATGGCGACAAGCGACCGGCGGCCAGTAGTGGCCACCACGACCGTTGAAAACAGGCGCGACACACAGGCGGCCAGCGGCCAGTCGCTGCCGTCGAGATCATTCATTTTCCTTACCATACGCGCAGTGCGAGCGCATTAGCCGCAGCGGCCGGTACTCCATCTTCAAATATTTTATATATTTTCGCTACGATGTCTCGCCAGGATCATTTCGATACCGAAAGATTTATAGTTGAAATTGAAGCTAGAAGGGGCATATGGGATATGTCGTCAAGTGATTATTCGAATAAAGATGTGAAGTGACAACTATGGATAGAACTGACAAATATGTTTGGCGGCGAAGGCTTGGAAGAAAAAGAAAAGGCAGAACTGGGTAAGTAATCGTTTATTATTGCCATGATAAGCGACCATCAGTACAAAAGTAATCTGCAAACATGTCCCTGTATTGAGATGATGTTCTATTTGCTCTAGAAGGATGACATGGAGATATTTCTAACAAATTTTGAGGAATAAACAATGTGTCCTCAAATCTATACCCATCTCGTTCTCGCACAAAATTATGTAAAACACATATAGCTTTGACAATCGAAACTGCAAATTCCTTTTTAACGGCTAGGGGTTGATGTAGAATGAGCCATTTACTTGCTAATATTCCAAAACTACATTGGATGTAGCGGCGAGCACGTGAGAGTCGGTAATTGAATGTTCTTTTGGTATCAGGCAAGATTCTTCCTGCATATGGCCGCATCATATGTTCTGACAGAGAAAAAGCCTCATCACCCACCAAGACGAATGGCATTGCTTGACCGTTTTCTTTGATTGGCTTATTACTCGGTATGTCCAAGTTATTGCTCATAAGTCTATCATAAAAAACAGATCTTTGAAAATATAAGAATCACTGCATTTACCATATGCACCAACATCTATATAAATAAACTTATAATCTGCATCGCATATTGCAAGTAATACAATTGAAAAAAAGTGCTTGTAGTTGAAATAAAGTGAACCCGAATGCTCTGGTGATTTAACTTTAATGTGCTTGCCATCCACAGCACCGATGCAATTTGGGAATTGTGCGTTTTTTTTAAAACCTTCCGCTACTTCATTCCACTTATCCCTTGTCAAAGGCGGAATCGCGATTGGTTTTATATTTTCCCATATTGCTTGACAGACATCCGATACTATTTCTCCTGTAGTTGTTAATCCAATTCGGAAATCATGACTTATATGTGCAAAAGAACATCCTGTCGCCAAATATCTGTAAAAAATTACTTCAATGAACATATTTTTCATTTGCTTATTTAATAAATTAAATAAAATTTCTTTACAGGTGTAGCGCTTCAAAAAAAATTGAAAAACATTAGGGACTCTTTTCAAAGAGAGCTACGTCGGATAAAAGGTGTCAGAAGTGGTTCTGGTGCACAGCGTAAGTCACCTTATATCTATTTTACCCAACTTCAGTTTCTGACACCAATATTGGGGAGCAACAATACACAATCCAGTATACCAGATCTGCCTGAGACTGAGACAAATAATGATGACAGTTCAGTAATTTCTCCAAACCCAGAGAATAGTCAATCACTCAGATCAAAGAGAAAGAGAGCTTCTAATTGTGATGACGACGGAGTACAGGCTCTAATTACAGTATTAAAAGACAGTATAAATACTAGAGAAAAGAGAGATACACTAAATGAATCGAACTCTGATCAAATGTTTCTTTTATCATTGTTAGATGGCTTTAAAAATATCCCCCCTGCTGCAAAGATGCCAGCAAGAATTGAGTTAATGGAAACCATAGACAAGTTTCAACCTAGCCGTTTACAATCTGAACGTTTCAACCAAAACAATTATTATTCGAATGCATATACCAACAGTTTTCAAGGCTATCATCCAGGTTATTCTACTATTCCAAGTGCTGGAACATTTGATAACTCTACAAACGGTCAACACCGTTTGAGTTCACAGCAGGTGCAATCACCAGAATCCGAATATTCTAATGCTTCACAAGCATCGGAAGTGCTTGAATTATATCCTTAGTTTTTATTATATTTTATATTATTTATATATTATATTATATTTTAGTAAAAATAACTTACCTCACAGTAATAACTAATTTTTCTTCTGGTGATATACACTGACGAAAGCGGCTATTACTTCCACTTATTTTTGTTTTTATTCCATCCAGTAGGTGATGAAACGTGCTCCTTGACATTCTCATATAATTGAAGAATTTGGCTTCATAATTTTTGATGTCAAAGTAGTAAGTATAAAACAGTCCTTTTGATTGTCTTTCACGTAATAATGGATGCACCCAATATTTTTTTCGTGCATTTCTCTTTTTCTTCTTCCGCATAACTAAATACACAATTACAGCTGTCTCCTCGACGTTCATATTAGCAACCCGTGAATTCTACTGATTATTTCTGGCCGCCAACCAATCGCTTGGAAGAATACTGGCCGCCGCGGCCAAGCCGCCGAATGCGCACGTAGCCTTAAGCTTAATTGTGTGTCGTGATTTCACTAGTTGGCATGAAATTAAAACATGTCTTCAGCTTAATTATACCGATCAACGATCAGAAGATTGTCTTCTAGACGATTTGATGAATATAAAATCCGAAAATAATGAAAATCCCTATAGCCTTGGTAACAGAATTAAAGATTCTTTAAATTTACTGTTAACAATTTTAAAATTAAATAACAATGCTAAGGAACGAGCTATAAAAACTAACATTTATAAACGTACTGCCTTACAAACATATCTCCGATGTCTCATGAGATATCCAGATTTCGGTGAATATATGCAAATTGAACGTCCAGAAAATTTAGAGACCGCCCAAGCTAAAGTACTTGAACGTCAAAATTGGTTATACCTCTGTAGAAAACCGAATCAACTTAATAAAAATAATTCTTCTAAAATGAACATAATAACGCCCACGCAAAATTTAAAAAATTATTTCATACCTAAAACAAATCAGCAATGTACGAATAATTTTAAATTTGGTCAACCGAATTATCAATCAAAATTTACTCCTCAAAACAATTATCAACCACGACCAACATTCGTTCCGTCTTGGAATCAACAACAGAATCGTAACATATTTGCAAAATTTAATAATCCACAATATCCGCAGAGATTTAATAATCATCAAGGTTTTTCTCAAAACAATAACAATCAATCGCCAAAACCGACCCCTATGGAAATCGATAAATCTACGATGTAAAAAATAATAATTTTAAGCGTCCTCGACAAGAGATGAATAACGTACAGAATTTCGATGATAAAAATATTTGTTTTGATGAACAAACAGGAGAATATTTTCAAAAGGTAATACTACATCAACATTTAGAAGCATCTACTTCTGCTCCGGAAGTAAATGAAAATTTCGAAAACTTTGATTATGAAGGTTTTAATGAGAAAGATGAAAATTTTCTAATAGCTACCTCGGAAGATCCCTCCCCATCACAGAATTAAATAATTTAAACTTCGACAAACTACACACATAGTTTTTCCCGAATTGGACAACGCAAAATTTCTTGTTGACAGTGGAGCTGAAATGTCTTTTGTAAATCCTGGTCCTAATACAAAACTTAAACAAAGAACAGCTCACATATCTGAGTTAAAAATATCTGATGTTCCAGGACCTTCATGCTCTTCAGTCTCATCTCCTGCGCGAGGCCAGAACTGATAGAAATCCGGAATGGAGCAGGTATCCTACCAATCCATCTAGGCGTAACATATAATACAAGAAATTATTTTGAAATCATTACGCAACTGGATTTGTCGCCATTATTGGATTTCAAACAACAGCAAAACATTCTTAGTACCGAGAAATGACAGATAAAACATCAGAATTAAATGAATTAGAAGAAGAATTTCATACTAAGTTATCGATTCTAAATGTAAGAAATACAAGATGTAAACAAGGATTGATCAATGCTTTTGGTAATATAATAATATTCGTAACAGGTAATCTCGATAGTACAGATGCTGAACACTATGATTCAATAAATATTTAAATAAAACAACTAGTAAAATTAATGAAAATATTATCAATATTCAGAATAATCTTAATGATATACAAGAAAGAGTTCAATCTTAACAACAATTTCAATTGATAGAGGAAAATCTTTTGATTCTGAATCGAATTAACCGTAATTTAGGAGAGATAATTGATTTGGCTAAGGTTAATATCCTACATTCCTCATTAATTTCCCCAGAACAATTATTAAAAGAAATAAAACTTATTCATTTAAACCCTGATCATGATTTTCCATTTGAAGCCATTCTAGAAAACATATATTTAATTGAAAAATTAATTAAAGTAAAAGCATACCAGAAAAATAATGTTTACAACTTCATACTACGAGTGCCTACAATAGATAATGAAGAATATCAATATTATAAATTGTACTCGCGTTTTCCGCTAAACTAGCTCCAAAGTATTCCGGTCCTTATATAATATCCCGCATACATATAATGTCCCCTGTTGAGTATGAATTACAACTTCCAGGGGTAAAAGATCTTTCCGAACTCACATTAAAAACATTAAACCGAATATTTCTGGAGTAGATGTCGAATCCAAGGATGGAGATATCCGAAAGAGTGTCCGCAAGGGACCCGGCAATCGACCGAAGACTCGGTGAAAAAGAAATGATGCAGGGAAAGGGCAAAGCAACTCGCAGAGGAACTGGCCAATCAAATTAACCAGAATAAGAAAAGAAGAGTTGTCCTTCCTTGCCAAATCCTTCAGTCCATGCTCACACCGACCGGAAGGAAGAGCTATCGCCGTACAAGATGGCTCTGCAACGATTCCGGCCGCGGGATATACAGGCCGATTCCGTCACAAACTGATTACTCGTGATGGTAGGACCGTAAGGATCACCCTTCCACCCAAATAGTAATTTTTTTTTCTCTATCTTCTCTTTCTTATTTGCCCGAATCGTCCTTACAACCCGATATACCGCCCGTTACCATCCTTAATCCCAATTAATTTTCAATGGTCTTAAATTTTGTTTTGCTTTTCTCCGAAATAGATGAGTAATAGCGACTCTTGTGATATCATCTCTCTGGGATCAGCAGAAGATTGCGACATGGAAGAGAGAAAGGATGGGGCAAACCGGGATGTCGCCGATGAGGAATTCGCGAAAATCAACGAGGAGATACTGATGCCCAGACGAAACCCTACCGCTAGCGAAGCAGAACCGAAAAAATTCAGGAATATCCCATCGATTGCGCCGATTTTGACGATATAAACACCGTGTACAGCGCACCGGTTACCTTCACCGACGTTGCCACCCAAACCGACATAGAAAAGAAAGTACAGCCACCGCCCCTACCACCGTTGTGGGAAATCCTGGGCGTGCTGGGGAAAAGTCACAACCGAAGACCGGCACCCACCCCAATCCCAGATTACGTGAGCATTAACGCGAACATTTGCTGGCGCTATGGGAAAAATGGACACCGTCGCGATGTGTGTACCAATCTGGCCCTATTATTTTGCTCCCAGTGTGGGAAAACTGGAGTAATGTTCCGAGAATGCCGCTGTACCTATTATACCTCCTGTAAGGTACCTCCTGTAAGAGTACCAAAATCCGAAAAATTAGTTTCAAAATTGAAAATGCGGAAAAGAAATCCGAAGAGTTTAAAAAAAAACCGAATTAAAATTTTTTTTTAACCGAACAACGAGGGGTGTGTAACAAAGTTATATTTTTTTTAGCTCCGAAAAATTAACAATATCCGAATATACTTCCCACATTCCCCGGTCTTCTACAGTTTCCGTCAAGCAATAAATCGTCCGTTCGAACGTACGTCGATGGATATCGTTGGACCTTTAGTCACCACAGATAACGGAAATCGATATATTTTGACTTTCCACGATCATTTTACGAAGTACAGCGAAGCCATTCCTTTGTCAGATCAGAAGGCTGAATGTATGTCGACATGGGACACCTAAACAATTATTAACGGATCAAGGTAGTAATTTTATGTCAAGTTGAATGAAGGATTTTTAACAACCTACATGTTGTTTGTTAAAAATTGAAAAAATTGAGGGATAGGGATATTGAGATCTTATATACAATCTAGAGTGCGTATGTGGTGGTGGTGGGGGTAATCAGAAAGTCAGACGTGTTAGATGTACCGACCTGAACTTAGCTATAGTTTCAAGGCTCTATTGTACCTACAATTATAACCTCACATCATAATCTTAATTCTCATAAACATATTGTTATTTTTATTAAAATTTTATTTTTGTTGAAGGTTTTCGAATTCTTTTTGTTCAGTTTTTTTAAAATAAACTAACAATTGTTTATAAGCAAAAGGTTAACGTGATCAATTGTTTTAAATATTTTCTTCTTAATTTATGTTAATTGTAAGGGTTATTGTTAAAAATTATTAAGTTCTTTTAAAATATTATATAATTAATAATTATTTATCAATAAAAAATTAATTGTTTTGGTTATTATTTTCTGTCTTTCCAGTTTATAATAATGTAAATTCTTGCATAAGTATATATAAGAATTTTGAATTTCCCGCTAAGTTGGTACATCTAACAGAGGTACATGAATATATTCATCTACTTTGCATCTAACAAGGCGACCTTTCTGGCTTTATTTTAGGCGTGGTGGGGACCAAGGTAGATGAATATATTCATGTACCTTGTTGGGGACAACAGCATACGCACTCTAGATTATATATAAGACCTCAATGGATTGGGATGAGTGGTTGCTCTTTGTTGTCCTCGCTTATTGCGCTTCATATCACAGTAGTACAGGCTATACGCCCTATTTTCTTTCTTTTGTCCAGTAATGACATATGAAGAGGGTGCACATGACAATCTCAATAAATAGATCAGCAGAACCTTCTACATCCGCTGTACATGCTGAAACACCTTCTCCAGATAGGGAAATAATAGAAGAAGAGGGTAAGTTTTCGGTATTTTGTTAAAAAAATATTAAGAAGGGAGATACAAAGGTATTAATAAAAATAAAAATTGTAGAACCGTGCACAAGTAACAGTGGTTATCAGCCGAAAAAACCAAAACTATTTCCATTGCAAACGGGTATAGCACAATTTTTAAAAACAACAAAACCAGTATCTAAAAAAAGGAATTAGACAATCAATTGTTACGAATGATAGTAAAACGATACTAGCCTTTTTCTATAGTGAAAGACTCAGAATTTATAAAACTAATGCATATAGCATTACCAAATTATAAAATACCTTCAAGAAAAACATTAAGTGAAGGCCTAGTGTTGCAAAATTATGAAAAAATTAGGGCAAAAATTCAAATAAATCTTGACAGTGTTGACTTTATTAGCGTCACTACTGACAGTTGGACCTCAATTAGTAATGAAAATTTCTTGTATTGTTAGTGACAACGCAGCTAATATTCTTGCAGCTGTTAGAATAGGAGGTTGGAACTCAAGGGGCTGTTTTGCACATTCTGT